TCTGTAGCTGCCGGACGCCGTTATGTTTACTGCCTGTAATTAAATGAAAGAAGTCAAATCGGTTGTTTAATCTGCTTTGGGAAAGTAGATGATTTTTATTCAATGACCCACGTTGGGTATCTGGCGTTTCGTCTTCAGTAATTCCTTCTTTCTAAAGATGAGTCCAGGCACACTTTTTACCCAGCGTTAAATCTGTTCAACGCCGTAAATTTGCGTTGATGTCGTTTGCGCATTTCCATATCAATCGTCTACTATTTTAGTTGATAGTAAATAAGGTGCCCTTTCCAGCAAACTTCAATGGCCGGTTATCAATTTCTTACCTCTAGCCATGACCGAATCAGCCTACAGGGCATTCGCAACACGGCTGAGATCTGACTATGGCTTAGAAAGTAACAATGATTAACTTGTAGCGGCTATTTTCATGTTCATACACTCTTCTCATCTTTGTGAAGATCTTCTGTTCAATCCTCAGAATGGCTTGATATCGGCCAGATACTTAAAAATAACCTAGAGTTCGTATCTCTTTGAAATTCACAGAACCAGTCTTGCACACCACTGCTGTTAACCTGAAATACGTCGTTGTTCAATCTTCCTTCAAAAACGAACCCTATATCCATTTGGCGATCCTCTGCAGAGCAAGTGGTGTTGCCCGCCAAGCTATAATAGGCTATTATCCTTTCATCTAACTTCGCTGTGTCCCATAATATCCTACTCGATTGTCCCCAGTTCTTGAAGCTAGGCTTCTCCTAAAAGTAACTGGCAGTTCTACGTTGCCAGCGTTTGTAAACCATAGTGGTTGCCCTTGCCGGCGGCAGTCCAGCCTTCGGGGCATGAGGGCCGTGGTGTAAGTCATGATTTCGTCTTGGAAAATCTGGCCGTAACTCACCACGTTAGCCAGTCGGGCTAACGATTGGCCGATCTACTTCGTTAGGTGCATTTTTCAAGTTTCACAGCACGGTAGAACAGGCGAAAGCCAAAAGGCTCAGCTGTCTGTGTATCGTCTCGAGAACCATTTGTCCCCAATGTTGCGTTAGCGCAAGTAGAGCATAAGAGGAAAACTGTGTATCTAAATAAAGCAGACCGTTTTTAACGAACAATTTGCATAAAGTTTGAATGCGTCATTTCTACCGACCAAAATGTTGGACGCAAAGCGAGGTATTTTTTAAAATGACTATATTACAAGCCGGATTTAAATGACTATATCCGGTCCCAAGCCCGGATGAGAAAGGAGGAGGGTTGGAGACCGTGGCAAGTCTCCGTAAAATTCAGCCA